CCATTGAGGATCACTCAAGGAGAAAAAAAAGAGTCCTGTACTCGGACCTACGACGTTAGAACCCTACTTCATTTTACTTCACTTGTACTCCAATTATAGTTCGAAGTATGGAAATGTCACTTTTGCACCTTTGTCTTTACCACGAAAAACAATTGTGCACTTTTTTTTATTGGATTTTCATGTGGAATCTATCCAGGTCGAAAAACCAGACATCCGATCGTGCTAGACCCGATAAGACCTGACCCTTATACGATTTTTGTATGATCTTGTTAGACCCTAATAGATCATATAAGATCCATAAAAAAAGAACCGCACAGTAGCCCGCAATGTAGATCTTCTCTGTTCGTATCCTCCTCGTGTATGATCCGATTTTTTTTAGTCAATACAGAAACTATGATTCAATTGTTATGTTTACCAGGAAATATAGAGAGCAAATCAAGTTTTGCTGAATACGTCACGATACTAAATATTATTGAAGTAGTAATATCATTTATAACTTTAAAAAACTGCATTTTATTAGTGTTTCGTCAGAGCGGTGACTTATTTCGAAAATATTGGTAGAGTCCAGAAAGTTATATTCTAAAATATATTTGCACAGGAAAAATATCCACATAATATAAACGCGCCATCTATAACGAACCATTCTACATTCGCTTATACATTTTGGACCCAACAAAAAGGTTGAAGATTATACAACTGCGCACAATAAAACAACAGAATTACCTGTCTATATCGACAAATACTATTGAGGAGAGCAGCTCAAGAAACAATGCTATACATGCAGTCGAAGTTACATCTAATAAAACATCGAAATTAGTAAATGGTTCCCCATTTTCGAGTAATGCAGCGCAAAATTTTTATTCATGCTAAATATGATTACCATATCATCGTGTAATGAACATAAGGGTATGGGTTACCCATAACCCCCCCCCCCCCCCATATTAGAAGCCCCCATGGGCTTCTAATATGTCTACCATATGAAGCTTCTGGAGGGGGGCTTCTATTAAGTCTCAAAAAAATTTCGTAAACTGCCAGGAAAAAGGGTTCGTAAGGGTTTTTAGAAATTTTCAAGGTTTTTATGAGTTTTCCAGAAGATTTTTGGCATTATTTCCAGATGTTAGCAAAGCTAGATACGAGTCAGCCAAATTTTCACCTGAAAATCGAAAAATTTTAGCAATTTTAGCATGAAAATGCGAAAAAAAATCTTTAAAATTTTAAAATTTTTTCGAAAAATTAGGGGGGCTTCTAATACGTCAAACACGTTGTTCATCTCAGAGGGGGCTTCTAATAAGGGGGGGCTTCTAATATGGGAGGGGCTTCTATTATGGGAGGGGGTTTAGCGTAAAATATTGAAGGAAACGCACTTCGTAACGCGTTTCCGAGATTGTAGCATGCGTTTCGCAGCATTCTTACTTAGATAGAATGCGTTTTGCTGCCGTCATTTTTTGAAACGATCTGAAACGCATTTTTGCGAGATTGCGTTTCGAAGCGTTTCTGAAGTGGGTGTGGATGGGGTGTGGGTGCGGGTGTGGGTGTGGGTGTGGGGTGTGGGTGTGCGTGTGGGGTGGATTTAGATGTATTCTTTAGCCACACCGACACCGACACCCACACCCACACTCATACCCACACTCACCACACCCACATTCACCACACCCACACCCACCGTAATTAGTCTTATGCATGAAAGAGAAACTAGAAAAGGAATTTGAAAATGTAACAATGTTGAAAGGAAGAATTGTAACGATCTGGAACACCATCATTCCGAAAATGTGCTCAAATTGGATAAATTCGATACCAAGAAGATTACAATGTTTGATCAAAAAAAAAAGGTTATTCAATCAACAATAAAGACTATAACAACATATGAAAATATAAATTTTTGTATTATTTGCTATTGTATTTATGATAAAAATTAATTATTCTCGATGTTTTTTATGAATAAAAACTTATTGCAGTCTGTGAAAGAAACTTTCTCTATTTTTCAAGCTTATATATCTTCCCTATAATTAGAGCTGGAGTTATGAAAATTTGGGATAATAATCATCTAGTTGTCAGAGATTATATGTTCAACTTTGAGCATTTTTGGATTTGCTATGAGGGAGAAACGGACATTTTTCTATGAAATAACAAGACTTTTGGATCACCCTTTATTTCTTATAGAAAGCTACTATAAATCTAAATAAAGCAATGGGTACATTAAACTTTCTCTCCAAATGCGTATCGTTAATAGTATTTCATAAAGCAAAGAGATGACGTGCTCTGCGTCTACCTCATATTATTCTTGTTTTTGTTGTTGCAACAATGAGTAAGTGAAAGAACATATACGATGAAAAAACTGCATTTGATTTTTTTTCTTTCTGTTCGCCTTAATAGTCGCAGTTTTCACTTCATTGCTGAGTGCTCTCCAGACTATATAAGTCTCAACTGGCAAGTAAACTCTTTCTTTACTCTTTCCATTTGAATATATAGTATGGTTTATAATAACTTATCGTTATTGGGTTTTCTATTCATAGTTCAATCGTGGTTCACTCCTGTGCAGCTGTACAATATTTTACATTCACTTTTATGTCAATAAATTACTGTTACTTTACACCACAGATTGCATTCTTCAATTTAATTTAACTGTACTCAGAATGAATTTTATGTATACAATGTCTTAGGGTGGATGTTTCACAACGCATTACAAAAAATCATGCTCTTCAATTTTTATTATAGAACAAGCTATTTTTGGTTTAAACGTTTATCACTGTGAGGAGAATACAAATCCAGACAGTTCGCGTTTTCAAATATTGGTGAATGTTAAGGACTACTTTCTGTTGCATTATCTTAGAATTCAGATGAAAATAGTAGTAATAGAAATATGAGAAACCTTCAATTGATCAAAATTATTTTTCAACGTTCTTAAAATTCATCAAAATGAAATGAAGTATCCTGAGTCGTAGAATCTCATATGTTACCTTTTAGACAGTACAAAATTCTAAGAATGAAAGTCAAGTCAAAATCTGAGTAGAATACTAATGAAGTAGCTGATTTATTATAAGTCATTCGATAGAGAAGTGATTTGATCTTATGAAACAAATTATATTTTAGATATTTCTTAATATTGACAAAAATGTTTTTATGCTGCAAACGTCAACATCACGTTTACCCCAATGAAACATCTCAGGATCAGCGCAAGGTAAACATTTTGGCAGTATCATGAATTACTTTATACTTCGTTTTCGCAAAATTTACGTTAGTCAAAGCATGAATGCTTATAGGTCGTTCAATCAGTTAATTTTTTTCTAAAATTTATTCTTTGTCTTGCTATATTGTTTGAAGCATTTCTTTGATGGATGATTCAAAAAAATGCTATGCAAAAAATGTTGGAAAAACAATTAAATTGCCCAGTTTAAAAAAAAAACTTGTGTGATCTAACTAGTAAGAGATTCTTGATCAGACCAAAGTGAACCGTCGGCTGGTGTAAAGATTTGCATCATTCGTTTTGGGTTTCATTCGGAAATATTTTTAGATAGAAGCTGTGAAATACCAAAAATTACAAAAAAGAAAAAAGAACCAAAAAGGATTTTCTAAAACTTTTTAGAATGATAATGCGTGACAATTGAAAATTCGATCAACTCACCTTCATCAGTTGACGACATTACACAACTTATGCTACGCATACTCATGGGTTGAACAGCAGTTTGCAATATGACTCATCAATGGGAAAATCGTTCCTATTTATGCAGAAATCGATCACCCGGCATAAAATCGTACATAATAATGAGAAATGGAAAAACCTAGAATTGGACCTTAAAATAAAAAATAATAATTGAGTTCTGTATCTAGTCGATTATGTTTATTTTGTTGTTGTGCTCTATAAAAGGATTTCTGCTTGAATGGAAATGGTTTCTTGATTTTTGGGGATATCGTCCAGCCCTCATTTACTTGGTGATACATCAATATAGTTGTTGCTGAAAACAAAAAAAATTGTGTAAAGCTAGCCAGACTTGTGAATACATACAGTGGACGTCAAAAGTCTCGCACCACTTTTTTGTTTTGAGTCGTGTATTTAAACTACACAACATTAATTCAATTCAATTATATGTTTGCATAGCAGAGATCGAGTACTATATATATACATCTGTTCAATTCGAAAAACTCTTGAATATGAAATACAATAAGAAAAACAAACTCCAGTACTACGAAAAAAATTATATAAAAAAAGACAACATGATAATAAAAATGTTTGGAAGGCTTTTTGCTGTGCAATAGGAATTTCTTTATACGGCTTTTGTAGAGCTTTTGACAGTGCATCTTTTGAAAAAAAATCAAGATGCTATCATTTTCTTAAGCCGAGATACATGCAAAATATAACAGTCTTCCAAACATTTTTATTATGTTAAATACGGTGGGAAGTAGCACTATCATAGATTATTTTTTCATTTTGAGTATAAGAAGAAACCATTAAAGGAAGTCAATAGGGTTTGTTCTTACAGATTTTGTAGAGCTTTTTACGACGCATCTTTTGAAATAAAAACCAAGATTTTATCATTTGTCTTTGCAGAGATATTCACAAAACAAACTCTGTTGGAAACATTTTTGGAACACCGGGTATTCCACAGTGTGTAATATTTTGATTATAATACCGTCATTTCTCAATGAAATTTAAAATATTTTTTTACCAAATTGATCAGTAAAAAAAGCTCTACAAAGTCTGTTAAAATGATAAGTTTTCTGAATACTTTGAGTTTTTTATGGGTGACTGCCTACGAAAGTATCCTATAACAACAATATCATTTTGTCTTTTTTTATATAATTTTTTTCTTAGTACTGGAGTTTGTTTTTCTTATTGTATTTCATATTCAAGGGTTTTTCGACTTGAACAGATGTATATATATAGTACTCGATCTCTGCTATCCAAACATATAATTGAATTGAATTAATGTTGCGTAGTTTAAATACACGACTCAAAACAAAAAAGTGGTGCGAGACTTTTGACCTCCACTGTAGTTTAGTTAATGTGCTCCCAGAGTATACTCCATATTTTTTATTTTTCTGAGGTTTTTTCATAATGAAAACATACATTAAATAGTCCTTCGTGTGAAAATATGAGAAGATGATTTTATTTTTAGGTAACATCATCAAAAACAATTCCATCTATAATTTCATGTCAAGAATTAAAAAGTCTTCTTCAAGCACCGCCATGTGAAATATCGGTGCTAGAAACAGACTTCGGTAAACAGCCTGAAACTGATTTTCAAGCGTAAGTTTTATTTGTTTGCTTTAGATCTATCTTTCTGTGCAAAACTAATATTAAAATGATTTTTTTAGTGGTCATATACCTAAAGCTCAATACTTTGATCAACTTGAATGTACTACACCTACAGACTTTATACCTCGTGGCTTACCAGACCTGCAATGTTTTGAAGAATACTTGACACGTTTAGGAGTTTCGAATACAGCTCATATTGTTCTCTATGATCGTTCACCAACTGGGTTTTTAGCTTCTAGCCGTGCTTGGCTTGTACTCCAAGTATGTTAAAAACCATCTGTGAAACTCATGTGCATCGAAATATAATTATTCTAGACACATGGTGTCAAGAGTTTATCAATTCTCAATGGAGGTTTTCATAAATGGACAAAAGAGATCAATGAAATTGAGTCATCAAACAGTAGTGATCCGAAAAGCGAGGTAGAATATACATCGTTGATGAGTCTTGTAACTTAATCATTTGTCTGTTTAGAAGAAAAGATTTAGAGTGAATTTGAACATGAAAATGATACGAACTTTTGACCAAATGGTGGCAAATTTATCTCTCGACGTTAGCAGTACTAAACGTGTTCAAATCGTAGATGCACGACCACCCAATCTGTTTTATGGTATGTTAGCATGCATTACTTAGAATAAAAGTCTCTTATTTAGCATTTTGCACTAAATGGAAAACAATTGAAATCTTATTTACATGTTGCACTTGTTTTTCACATAATGCACGTTTTCATAGGTACAGACGCCGGACATATGCCTGGTGCATTGCATCTACCTTACTCAACGGTACTAGATCCAACAAATCAATGTTTGAAATCAAACGATGAACTTGCAGAAAGTAAGTTGTCGAGATATGCAATATCATGATCTCGGTTTTGTTCAAGTTTTTAAGAAAGCTGAAGTAGATCTGTCGAAACCGACCATCTACACGTGTCACACTGGAACAACAGCAAGTACACTAGCTTTTGTTGCTCATTTACTCGGCCAAAAAGAATTATCCGTCTATATAGTAAGAAATTAAAAATGAAATTAAAGGATATAAAGTAGAAAAAATAGCATATGTATTCCTATTTTTTGACCTTCGTACCAAATTTTTTAAAAAGATTTCCGAGAGAATGAGTTTCGATATTTCTATTAACATTTCCTTTTCATTAAAAAACTAAATTTATTATTTTATAGGGTGCGTTTACTGAATGGCAACAACGTGCCTCTACAGACATGATCATTAAAGGTGATGGAAAAACTACTATTGATTAAGACTCATATTAAATCTATCTATAATTTTATCTTTCAATAAAGTCGACTGCATTCTTACTTGATTCATAAGTTAACGGATGTCCCAGGGAAGATGGATCTCTCAGTATTTTGCTGACATCTTCATCAGCTCTTATTTGTTCACACTTTATTTTTTTTTTAAAGATTCGTCTTCTTATCCTCTACAAGAATCTGTATCTCGTATTTCATTTGAATGTTTTTTGTCTTTCTTATAAGATGAAAAGTACGGAACTTCAAAACGTAGCTTTTTCTAAATACCAAGATGGTAACTAAGATGGGGTGTGGGTGTGTGTGTGTGTGTGGATGAAGATTAAAGCTACACCCACACCCTAATCCTACACAGAAAATGATTGGTGAATATTTCTACAAGATAGGAAAAAACAAGGAAGCGCATTCAGTTGTTCTGTACTGTTTGTATTTTTCTACTGAAAATGTCAATCATTTGCCATTTCACAATGGCTACAGATAGATGATAATTGAGTAGAATATTTACTCTCTTGATATCCGATAGCTTTTGTAATTATAGATAAGCTTTTATTGGTTAGAAGAAAATGGACTTTAGAATTGTTGAATTTTTTTGTTCTTGAATAAAGAAACGAAAGGAGGCGGATGATAAGCGATGAAATTGATTCTTCGAGAAATTTGGTTTATTTTATGTAAAACTCCCACATAGTGTCCAAAAGTGATTTCTAGTGAAATTGGTCTTATATCACCTTGTTGTGGTGTCTCTAGATCGAGTGGCATACTCAATCGTTATCGCATATATACGAAACCCGACTACTGATGATAATCAACTGTTTTATGTATCAATGTGATGACCAGTCAACGTGACTCTTATATGATTTGATAGCACTTTTGAAAGGTTACAAAATGATGTAAAAATATTCAGGAACAATCTTGTCCGGAATGGCTTAGCATGGGATACAATCCCGTCATGTCCCTACATTATGAGTATTATTCACTGGAATCATGTGCCAAAGATATTTCATCTAATCAACCACCAGACTAGTTTTTATATGATTCGATAGCGCTTTCAAAACGCTACAAAATGATATAAACACATCTAGAAAAAACCATTGGCCGCCCAAAAAAGTTCTGAACATACTGTTCTCGGAACATGATTTTGTGCAAGGGAGAAACAGCTGATTCCAGGTGATTCTGTTGTCTGAAATCAGTTGCTTCCCC